TCTTCTTCTTCTTCTTCTTCTTCTTCTTCTTCTTCTTCTTCTTCTTCTTCTTCTTCTTCTTCTTCTTCTTCTTCTTCTTCTTCTTTTTATGAGCTTCCCAATCTCCCTGCTTCTCATATTTTCCCTGTACAGTTTTGTCATATAACAGTGAGATTTTATCTGAAGGTTAGTTCAGATCCTATCCACCCCTGCTTCTGGTTTCGGTGGCCTTCTGTCACAAGTAGGAGAAAACACAAACTTGATAGTGAGGACCTACAGACGCTGCCTGGTGTGGCTCCAGTCTCTCACTACCGACCCTTTCACTCACCCTGGCCCAGGCACTCGGCCTTCCTTCCACCCTACCGGAAGGCCTTTTGCTATTTTGCTGTTTAGTAAACTCTAACTCCAAATTTTTATCTTGTCCTGTGGTGGGTTAAGATTTCACCTTCTCGAGTGGGTCTCTGCTGTTCTTCCCAGAATTCCACACCTCCCTGTCTGTACCCATCACAGTTACAATTTTGTCTTGTACGATTCATTTTTTAATTTATGTTTTCCTTGCTGTCCCTTCTAGACCGAGTTCTACAGAAGTAGAGACTCCGAGGCCTTTTCATTATGGCTACTCAGAACAGTGTCTGCACACAGTAGGCAACCAGTGTGTATTTTTTTTCCCCAATGGACACAAGGAATGAGCAGTTGCAATCCTGACCGTCAGGCAGACTGCTGCAGTTACCTGACGTGCAACAAGGAACAATCTGCTTCTTTTGCACACTAAGCTCTCTTTCCTCTCCTACTCATCTTCGGTTTGCTCAGTACTGGTTCCTGTCACCTCCAGCTTTGGTCTTACGGGTTAATGCCACCAATCCCCTTTGTGAGCCACAGGCCGTTACAGTACTGCTTTATGTCAGCGTATCTAACTTGCCCATTAGGCCAGCTTCCGGCAGAGATGCTGTTTGATTTGTTCCCCAAGGCCACTGCAGATTAGTGGAAGAACAAACAAACAAACAAGCAAACAAACGAACAAACAAGCGCAGCCTAGAAACTACTGAGGTAATTATTTTGTACAATCACTTGGTAAATCATAGACACCCTTGATAATAAGAGTTAGCTGCTTCCCAGGTTTCTCCGCTTGCCAAGTGTTGACTTTTAGAGAGATTTTAAAAACAGGAGCACATACAGACTTGCTTATAGAAAAGGCACATCTCCCTGTTAAAGGTTGTATGTTAAGATGAGAACATTAAATATGGTATTTACATTTCCTATCATAGTTCATGTATCTTTGATAGTTTGTTTTACTCACAAAGGATTCCGCAAGGTACAGGCATTGCTATTCTAATTTTACATATATGGGAACTAATACTGAGATGTAATAATCTGTTCAAGCACACGCATGGAGGAAAACAAAACTGGAATTTGAATACAGGGCTTTGATTTTTAAGCCCAAGCTCTTTCTGCTGCACCATGCTGCCCCCTATGGGACAAGCCTATAAATCAGAACTGTTCCTGAAGAATATCATTATGGAGATTATAATAGTGAAGTGTTTTAAGATGTAGAATTAAGGAAGGTGCTTTGAATGGCTATTATTTTTATTGAGTAGAAAATGACACTGGACTCAACCTGCTCCAGGGAAGGGTGTTATATAGCATTGCCTATATTTCTATCCTTTTTTTCTGCCTATAAACACAAAGATATTTTGTAGAAGTTTGTGTTATTCCAGTCATGTTTATGCTAATAGTATTTGCCACATAATCTCATTCTTTATTCCCAAGGTTCATTGTGAGGCATTTCTTTTAACTTGTTTCTTAGATCGTCATACCCACGACTATCCTGAGCTTATTTGGCTTCAGTAGTTCATCCAAGTTCTCTCTCTTTCTCACTTTCCACCTGAGAACATGGTGTGGGTGGGATGCATACCCTCAACTCTTGCCTCAGCTGGAACCAGAGGCTGGCCTGATGTCCTTATCTGGAACTGCAGTAGTTCCCATTAGAGATTTCTGGACTCCCATTCTTGCTCTGTGTCCTTCCATCTCTTGGGCATGTGGGCTAGCAATGGTCTAGCCTTCTCTACTCCCAAGTAAAGCAATCTCATGTTATTGCCCTAGTCTCCCATCCATCCATGGTTCTGGCTTTGTTTCTTTTATGCTGTTTGATCCTTACCCCTAAACGGCGTTTCTACTGCTTGCTAGAACCAATGCATCCACACAAAGAACTTCATCAGTGAAGACGGGGCCAAGAATCTGGTGGGCAGGCCAAAGAACTTTTGATCTTACCACTCACTGTCTTTCTTCTGTGCATCTCTGGGGATGGAGATGTTGATGGAAGACAGTCTATATGTGATGATGTAGAGCTGATCTTCTTTAGATTCTGCTCGTGGGAGGGGTCTATCAGCTTAGTGATGGGCAAGCCAGAGACAGGTTGCTTGTATCTTGCATACTGTAGAGCATCCATGATCCACCTCATCTCACGCCAGACTTCATCTGTTTGCTTTGGAATAAAATGGTGAAAGGCATTAAAAGAAATACATTTTCCTGAGAGTATAAGAGGAACCATTTTTCTATATCACTGGTTTCTATGGCATTGGTTTGAGCCTTACTTGCTTTGTTTGTAAAGTACAGACAAATAGCCCATAGGTTATTGTGATGATTGAATAGCATGATGAATTTGGAAGTATCTATAACATGCAGAGTACTTTGCTCACACACATAAAGCACTATTTACTCTCTCTATGTAATGAAACATACAGTATCAGGAAGTGATATGATGCAGATGATATATGAATTTCAGAATGCTTGTACCTGTATTATGGGAAAGATATAATTTTATTTATTAAACTTGCTGCTTTTGCATATATAAAAGCAGATGCTTCCAAAGTCTAATGCAGTTCTAAAAAGCTCTTGTTAAAAAATTTATACACTCATATGGTAGCATATTTTAGATCGGTATCACTTTCATTTCAGGGTTACTATAGTGATTTTAGTGACATTTTCATTACAAAGTACAATAGTAGTTGCTAGTGGTTTAAAAGTCACTCATTTTTGTCTTTACTGTATATGACAGGTGTTCTTCAGATCATGATGAGCACTGGCCATGAGCTTCCTGGTTGTCCTGTTTCCCAAGAAGAGGCTGCTAGTTAAACAGTTTCTTGGGAGCCTGAAGCTTGTGGTTGGCTTTACATGTGAGTTCACTGGGGGCCTTGGCAAAGCATTAACCTCTGTTTTCATTTCTCAATTGTAAATTGAGGACATTTAACCATGTGATGGCTAAGGCAACATTGTTCCAGTGAGGGATAAGAAATTTTGATAGAAATATAGAGAGGAGAGAGAGAGATGGATAGAAACACAGGATAGCCTCGGGAGGGCCTAGATCCTAATCCACCGGCCCCTTCTGTTTCTTCTAAAGGGCTTTAAGGAATGCCAAGGGGTGGAGCAAAAGACCTCCCCGTCGCACAGCCAAGTGCAGACCCTTCCAAACACCTGGTAACCACTCACATAGTCAATCCATCCCCTTACACAGGTCTTCTGGGTAAAGCAAGCTCAGATCTCACTAGGAAACCTCTGTGGGCTCCCACAGTCCAGCTCTTATACTTTATGGTTCTCTTTGGAGAATCCTTAGAAAGCTGGTGTCTCTACCTTCAGGTAGAAGGTGTTCATTGTAAGAATAATGGTCCATTAAGTGTCCCTTACTGGAGAGGTTTTAAAGATTAGGTATCACCCAGTGTTACTTTATTTTCAAAATTCCTTCTTAGGTCTTTATACTTAACCAGACACTCTTAAAAAAGAGTATCAACAAATCCTGTGCTCCTCACTCAGAATAGATTTTGAAGCTATAACATTCGTTGTCATGTTCAGTGAGACAGTAGACTGGAATGAGCTAGTGAGCAGAATTGTGTGGTTGGGGGCCTCCCCTTGCCTTCTGGTTCTGTGCTGCCCTGGGATAGGCCTTGGCAGAGGATTCAGGGCTGGTGTTGAAAGCCTGGGATTGAGGCCCAGGGTTTGTTTACTCCCTTAGCTGGGCAGGAAGTTTCACAGCAGCCAGGCCCAGGAGGAGGTACTAAGCCATGGTAAGGGGAGAATTTGAAGGGAACCAGAAGTTCATGAGGTAAAGCCAAATTGGAACTCCCAGGTGAGACTTGCATGGGTTTTCCTGATGAAGCAGTTACTTTCTTGGGTGGCTTTTATTGGCTATGTCATATTCAGTGTACAGTGTTCTCAAAGTTATTTTAAAGGCATCACGTGATGTGGATAACTTTTTTAGAGTGTCTGTCAAGGATAGGAATGTGCATTTGTATTTTTTTTTTTTTTTTTTAAAGTAGATGCTCAGGGAATGCCAGCGGATTGAAAGGATGGAATGGCTACACAGTTCTACCCTCAGGGTTGTTGGAAAGAAGATTCAGGGGAGATGGGTAAGAGAGCTCTGCAAGCAGGGCACTGTTATAACGTTTTCAGCTTTATGATGCCAGCCACGATTATTTCAGTGGGCTGAATGTAAATCCCTGAGAGATTTCCCAACTTCTAATCCTTGGAACCTAGAACTATTACCTTATGTGATAAAAAAAAAAAAGTGAGTATTGCCTTCCGTGGCAAAGCTGGGGTTGTTAAGGATTCTAGAGGAATTGTCCATCCTGGATTGTCGGCGGGAGCCCCAAGTCCAGCGACAAATGTCCACATAAGGACTTGCTTGCAAGAGTGAGGCAAAGAGAGACTTGGCAGAAGGGAAGAGGTGGCCACAAAAGGAGAGATGGATGCAAGTTAAGGAACATGCACACCACCTAGAAGCTGGGGGAGGTGGGGAATGGACTCTTTCTGGAGCCTTCTGGGAGTGCCGCTCTGCCAGTGGGAATTTTGAACTTTGCTCTCCAACTCCTGGAATAAAGTTCTGTCACGGTAAACCAGCCACTTTGTGGTAACCTGTAAATGTATGTGAGTTTTCATAACAATCCACCTGTTCTTTTTAGATAAAGGCGTTTCAGCTGACTGCTAAGCATGGGTAGAGTTGGATGAAGTGGTGCTGACTTCATGTTTCTCCGTGGTGAGGTGGAGAGGGCCTGACTGAAGAAAACTGAAAGCCCCATCGGTTCAGGGAGGCCCGCGGATTGGGTTTAATGAAACCTCGCTAAGTAGCCCCCAAAGAAGTCCAATTTCCACTCATTTCACCTTCTGCTGTTGATCTAAAAGCGACTGACAACATAATCCCCCTGATTTGAAGGTCCAAGTTCAGCTTCTGAAGACTTGCTGACATGCTTTTCAAACGAGCGGCTGTGAACTGCCCGAGTCTGTTGATTAAAGAGTCTGCATCCATTTCTCACCCTGCTCTTTACAAACTTCAGTTTTCATCCTGTAAATTATACCCTTTCTCTGTGCCCAGGCAAGATAATATTTTTATTAAAATGTAAAGGTGATTGGCTTTCTCACAGCACAGCCACAAGGTGCTTGAGGGGATGATAGATTGGCTATATTTAATGAGCTGTGTTTCTATTACGGCTTAGGCGCATTTGAAGCATTACAGTATATAAATTATGGCCTAATTGCCCTTTTGGCTTTAACAGCTCAAAGTACGCTAAGCCTTAGGTCTTCATGTTTTGACATTTCTCTCTCTCTCTCTCTCTCTCTCTCTCTCTCTCTCTCTCTCTCTCTCTCTCTCTCTCTGTCTATGTCTCTCTCTGTCTTCCTTCACTCACTTTGACATTTCTACTACATGTGCTGTCTATAAAGCCTGTATACCTTATCTGTGATTTTTCTATGCCTCCCCTAGTCCAGGCCTCCCCTTTTTGGCTACACTCCTTGGCTTCTTTTCCTAGCTGTATTTACATAGACTCCCCTGCTCTTTACAATGTTTGGTTTGTGTAGTAACACTGTCTTAGATCTAGATGGAACTGGCAGTTGCCTCTGCAGGTTCTGGTTCTGGTGTGGGGTGGGCTGAGCTGTGAACACCCATGGGTGAGTGGCTGCAGCTAGTTGTTAATTTTGGGGTGGTGGTGGGGGGCTAAGAAGCTGACACAGGGAAGGGGAGCCAAAACACTGAGTTGTCTGTGGTTGCTCATGTTGAGGGCAGCAGGGTGTCATACCAAAGGCTGTGGATCTAGGTCTATGATTCGGAATTACCCTACTCCAGAAGTTACTTTTTGAACACTTTGGCAACTGGCTTTTATCCAAGTCTATGTGCCTTTGGGAGTCCAGAGCAGGCAAGAACTTTGAAAAATTCTTGGCCTGGCCTGTCATTATCTGGCTCACTTAAAAATGTGATCAGAAGGAAGGAGAAAAGAGTCAGTGGAGCTCAAGGCCAAGTGAGAAAGAGGAGCATAGATAGTCAGGGAGTGAGAATGAGTCAGGGATTCTGGGAGGGTTCAAGACTGCCACAGACTAAAGAAAGGCGGTATCCTCATTGGACAAATGAGATCCGGGCAAGCTGAAGGAGAGCAAGGCAGAAACACAACCCAAGGCATGGTTAGCAAAGTGTTTCTCTAAGATGTTTCTGGTTGTAGGTCATAAAATTAACGTTAGAGGTGCCTAGGACCTGGGCATATTTCTAGTCCAGTTTTCTATTGCAGAGATGGGAAGCAAGCCCTCCCACCAATGTCCATATCTAACAAAACATTGTCTGCTCCCGAATGAAAAGCTGTGCTCCTTGACTCCTGGCCTGTTATTATTGAACAGTGTCCCTCTTTGGGATGCAGACTGGCCTTGAACTCCTTGTGTATCGCAGGCTTGAACTCTCAGTCTTCCTGTCAGAGCCTCTCTAGTTCTGGATTACATGTGTGTGCCAACAAACCTGGCTTCCTTATGGCATTGGACTCAAAAGGTAAGTGGGGGACTGGAGTGGTGGCTCAGTGGGTAAGAGCACTTGGCAAGCATGGAGACCCGAGTTTGAATCCCAGTTCCCACATAAACACTTGGGTGTGGTCATGTGCACTCTGATGGCTTTAGTGCTGAGTGGGGTTGGGCGGGAGGGAGGGGTTTGCAGAAACGGGAAGATTTCTGGGATTTGCTGGCTGCTAACCTTGCTGAAAAATGGCAAGCTTCATGTTCAGTGAGAGACCCTGTCTCAGAGGGACAGGCAGAACATCGGACATCTCCCTAGCCCTCTGACCTCTGTGTATACACAGATATGCACAACTATGTACCCTTGTGCTCCTACACACACACACACA